TAGGTAAATTTTGATAAATGGTACTCTATATTTAAGGATTAATGTTTCAGATTACATTTTAATATTTTTTTAGAAATGTGTAGTACAGTCATATTTCTTAATAACTGATGTAAAAAGTTTACTCATTTGAAATTAACTGTGCATCCCGGCGTGTTATTATCGACAGATATTTAATTTAGACGTCAAAGTAATTGTAAACTGATGATAAATTAAAAAAAAAACTAACCGCTTCCTCTGAACTGATTTATTACCGAACGTTCCTTAATTTGCAAGTATAAGTTCAATTACTAAGCAAACAACAAGAGACTCAAATACGTTCAACTGGAACTTGTTTATCCTAATGCTCCACAAAATTTACAAGATGGTGCTTCCACACATGTTGCATCTTAACGAAAAACCCCCGCCGAATGTTAACATCCTCGTCGAAACTTTAAAAGCCGTTCTGGTGTTTCAGGTTTTCGAAGAAATTACGTATCCCGGCCATACATCAACCATGACAGGGCCTCTTCCGACGGACCAATGAGCACCAGACACGGTATCGACCGACTTGTATTGCCGGGGCAACCGATAATCAGCCTGCCGCGATGCTGAAACCCGCACATCGACATGGAGCTGAAATTTTGCTTCGATGCGCAAAACACCCAGAGGTACATACACGAAATCGGCGCTCATGATAAACACCGAACGTTTGCTTTTATGATTTACGACGCAATTCGTCCAGTGGAGACGGCGGGAAAAATTTCGCCTACACAAAAAATCACCAGCGTATTCGAGTTTTGGAGGCCGGAAAAGACAAAAGAGGTTAGTTTTAATTCTGATTTATGATATTAAAAACTGGATAAAGAAATTCACAGGACAGTTTTTTGGCTTCAGTTTTATTTCGTTTTCTGATTGATTGCTCATAAATAATGTACAAAAGTATCTACTATATTCCAATGGTTGAACGAGACAAAAGAAGTTAGTTCGACGTTAATTTGAAATGTTAAACGCCCACGTGCACAGAGACCGACTAAAGAAATATATGTGCGCCGCAGTGATCTTCTTCGGGCCCGATTTTATTTTAATTTTTGTGAAATTTTGAAAAAGACGACCTTAATTTGGGGCGTCTGTTTTCATCAGGCCCGAACAGACTGATCAGCTATAAATCATGCTAATTTAAACAAGCAAATTGCGAAAATGTATCTCAGTTGCCGGGCTAGAAACACATGTGCCATTAACTTAAACAAATTATGTAAGAAATAGTAAATTCTCGGGGAATATCCAAATAATGGTCAACATCAAAAATGCCGAAGAGTTTACAGCCTATAAATTTGCATACTTAAAATGAGGTGGAATTTAACGAATTTATGTGCAACACTTTACATATTAAATCGTGTGAGTCAGATGGCTTAGAAAATGGACGGTTATGCTTTGGGTGGTTCCGTCGATAAATCTTCCATTGTTTTCAAAGTTTGGGCGTCTCAAATGGTTAAAGAAGCGCCTTCAAACACCTTGTTGGTGTTACTAGAAAGCTTAATCATAAAATTATCAATTATACCTACTCGCAAACACATTAAACATGTTACCGTAACTTTATAGCTTAATAAACTAATTAATTAAGTTTAGTGTACATTTACGAGTTTTTATTGTAAATATAATAAGATTTATAAAACGATTCTTGTTGTTATTGCAGAAGAGAAAAGAACAATGTGCTCTCATTATTAAAAATTATGGTCAATTTCGCTAATAGTATCTCATTCAAACGTAAATTACAAGAGCCATTATTTTGCTTAATACGGTTGTTTTATTTTCAACTTTATTGAAAAATATAATTTGAGCTTCATTTATTTGTTGTGGGGATTTGGAGTTTTATCTAGAGCAAAAGTTATTATTTTGATAGCGAGGCCCATTGTCAAGGAAAATGTAAGATTGATAAATCGGTAATAAAATGGAAGTTATTAAATTTGTAATCGAATTTTTATTTATAACTATGAGTAAGGTATGATAAACCAGGTTCGATAAAACATATTTAAAAAAATAAAAGATGGAAATATAATGACAAGATAAAAAAGAGCCGATTATTCAATACAAGAAAAAAAATAATAAACTACCTAAATAAAAAGTTAACTTATATAACTTTTATAGTATTGCAGGTATTGCTCTCTACTTCTCACGAATAACAATATGATATGGTTAAAAGTAACATAGAAAAAATTGTTAAATATATAGTTTCGTTATAACATATTATAGAGGAATATAATATCTATAAATCTTATTATTACAAAATAAATATGTTTTTCTACTTTGCGTTAACAATGGCCTCATTATTAAACCGAAAACAGTTTAATAATGGAATCAATTGTTAAACTGTATTTCAGGTGGCGTGCAAGAAGTGGGGCCCCCTTTTTCCATTTTTTGAGGCAAACTTAGGTTAGATTGTTAGTGTTCGGTGGTTAGATGTCAAACTTTGACATTGTGAAGTTAGCCACAACGCTACAACTAACCTTTCGAATTAAAAGGCCCTAAATTATAACCTTGAATTTTTATTAATTTTTTGTTTCCGATAAGATGCAAAGTAGAAAAAATAGTATATTATACTCGTTTAATAAGACGCATTGTGGCACTTATTCCTTTGGAGCACTCCTCGCTGCGCTCGTCGTGCCCCAAACCCATGCGTGCCACAATAAGACGTCTTATTAAACTAGTATAATAATATACTATTCTATAGTCGTACAGGTCAAAATAAAAAATGATCGGCATGACACATTTACGAGTAGGTATTTATTTATTTTTTTACTTATTTCAATCATTAAGAAATATTTTTTATAGTAAAATGATTTAATCGTATTTAGACTAAATCAGAAATTAAAAAATAACGTCATTTATTATGATACCGAGAAACCATATTTTTGAAAATAATATAATAGATATAGTTAATTGTTTTTCTCTTTGTTTAAATATTTTCCTAGTTCCTACTTTGTGAATTAATTTAATTTTTAATTAATAATTTTTGGAGGATCTAGGTAAGCAACCGATCGTCCTTGTTCGAACATAATCTACTTCTGTTTTTGACTTTATAAACTGGTTAACAAACTTTGTGGTTTTTCTTCCAGTTTTTTAAAAAGATGTCTTCAAATACCTAATGTAAAATGGAAATGGGGATTCACAGGTTACAAAATATTGTAAATCAAACTAAGAGATATTTGTGAATTTGTGAATTATTGTAAAATAGAAAACCAATCGCTCTTTACATGCTTACTAGGAAGCATCATTTAATTCTATCCACTTCATCGCGGCAACAATCTTAAGAATATAATATTGTTCTAAAGAAAGTTTATCCAGATACTTACATTGTATATTTTTTAGAATATCACGAACTTCTTTGACATTTTGGTAATTCAGTTACCCTAATTGAAAGGTTACAGAATGTTAGACCAAACTTACTTATTCTTCCTTTCCATAAAGTTGATGATCATGTCGAAAAAGTAGGTAATAACTAAATTTTCCATAAAACTTACAATTATAAAAATAAGCGCTTATTTTTTAGAACAGATATTTCTAAAATATGTACCTACTAATCGGTTTAATTTGTAGATCATTTTAAGAATTCCTGAAATTCTGGTAACACAATTTCGTTACAATTAGTAGGTAGGTAAGCGTTATATTGCACCTAACAGAATTTCAAACATATACCTAAATATGTTTTAATTAACATTTTACTTGTTGATCTTAAATACAGCTCTTTACCTTTGGTGATGATATTATAAAACCACAAATTTTAAATTTTCTGTAGTTTCAGGTGTTTGATCAGTCTATTGAATATTTCCGTAATAATAAAAAATTGTCTCACAAAAAAAATGATCTCAAAAATGAAAGAAACGAAAGATAAATTATAATTTTTGCTTTAACAAAAGCTTTAGAATTTATTATATAATGCCAACCAGTGTTTAAATATAATTATTTTATAAAAGTGCTTGTGTTTGTATCACACATGTACCTAAGTTTTATTTGTAAAAAAAATATGTTTGCATTTCACTATCTAGTGAAATACCTAGCTTCCGGTTTTGCTTTTATGATTTACGAATCAATTCGTCCAGTGGAGACGGCGGGAAAAATTTCGCCTACACAAAAAATCACCAGCGTATTCGAGTTTTGGAGGCCGGAAAAGACAAAAGAGGTTAGTTTTAATTCTGATTTATGATATTAAAAACAGGATAAAGAAATTCACAGGACAGTTTTTTGGCTTCAGTTTTATTTCGTTTTCTGATTGATTGCTCATAAATAATGTACAAAAGTATCTACTATATTCCAATGGTTGAACGAGACAAAAGAAGTTAGTTCGACGTTAATTTGAAATGTTAAACGCCCACGTGCACAGAGACCGACTAAAGAAATATATGTGCGCCGCAGTGATCTTCTTCGGGCCCGATTTTATTTTAATTTTTGTGAAATTTTGAAAAAGACGACCTTAATTTGGGGCGTCTGTTTTCATCAGGCCCGAACAGACTGATCAGTCTATTGAATATTTCCGTAATAATAAAAAATTGTCTCACAAAAAAAAAATGATCTCAAAAATGAAAGAAACGAAAGATAAATTATAATTTTTGCTTTAACAAAAGCTTTAGAATTTATTATATAATGCCAACCAGTGTTTAAATATAATTATTTTATAAAAGTGCTTGTGTTTGTATCACACATGTACCTAAGTTTTATTTGTAAAAAAAATATGTTTGCATTTCACTACCTAGTGAAATACCTAGCTTCCGGTTTTGGAGTCTTTGATCACTTGCAAAGTCACTTGTACTTTGGAAAGATCGCCACCTACTGATTCTACAATCGCATGTTTGCCACCCGCTCATTGTACAATAATAAAGAACTAGGCGCAAACAGTTATAAGCCGTGCGTCAATTGGAGGAAATTATAAACAAAGTTCAACACGCCCATCGCTGATACACCAATCCGTCCCGTCGTGAAAAAACTTGAAAAACAGATAAATCTCTGTCAAAAAAAACCCAACATACCATAATGTATCCGAGGAATTTTTTATCGATTCACATGTAGAAACCGATAAATAATCTTCTTTTGGCAACGCGGGCACAACATATTTCTTGTTTCACAGTTTATTTGAACACATGTTAGGATCTTAGTCACAAACTTCATTTTGTACTTGTATAAATTATTTACGTTTTACTTTATTTAGTAAACTGTCAAAGACAAATATCCAAACAAGTGATACCCTTGTCTTGTCGTCACTCCATTACGAAACACTCACACTAAAAATAATAACACGTCTTTTCTTTTAGGCTTATCGCGACACTGTGATATTGAAGAATAACATCTTTAGTTCGACTGTCTCGGATGTATTCAAACAACAGCTGAGCCGCCATAAAATCATATAATAACCCTAAGCTTTGAGCTAACTCTGAGCGCAGCTGGCTCGGAATTTCGTATAGATGTGCTAATTAGCAGAGTAAGCCGCTTTACCTCTTTCGGCGAACTGTTTTTCTTGTCTCATGTTGCTCATCGCGTCCGCGGTTTGGCTCCACAAAGGTCACATTATGCCAGGTAAAAAGTCTTCAAGTTTATCAAACTCGCTACATGTACCTCCTTTCGTATTCTGTTTTGTTAATAAAATAAAAAATACATTTCTAGGTGGGGTGGATCCACGACCGACGAATTTCGCCAAAATCTGATGTAAACATAATTTTAATTAATTTCATCATGTCAGTGTGTGATATTTATTTTATTTTTAATATAATTAAAATTTCAAAATAAGTATGTATCTTTTCATTAAAGTTTAAAACTTACATACACCTACCTATTAATAAGGTACAGCGGTTTATATTGATCGTTTCACAATCTACTTACATATTTATATTTGCATGCAATGAAAAATTTGAGATTAGTAGAAACAACTCATATCCACTAAAATCGTAGTAGGTACTTTTGCTATAGATGAAATGTAATTAATACTTTGTTATACTAAGTATGAATTAAATTACAAAAAAAAAAAAATCCAAAAAGTTATGAACATTTTTTCGAATGTAGGTACTACCCAAAGAATTTTTTTTTTTGGTTATAATAGATTTTTTGACATAAGTTTAAAGAAACATTAGATTAAAAATCTCTTTCCTCGTTGTCAAACATTTGGCTGAATGGGCTAGTAAATACAACGTCGGCTCACATTCAAGGTTCATATTACGTACTCGTATATGCCTACTTATCTACTTATTATAAGTATTCATTTTTCCATTTTGTTTAATTTTTCTCAATACTGTGTTTGGAAGTGCGTTGCTATTATTTTTTTCTGTTTCTTTATTATTGTTGAATCGGTGTTTATTTCAAATTAAAATTTTTCCGCTGAAATAGACTACTTATTATGATCTCACACTGCAGCAGTCAAGTGAGTCTTCTAAATTCGAAAATATATAAAAATCAGCTTTGTTCAGAATAAGAATTGGATCGAAAATTATTTCCGTGGGAAGCTACGCAAACATAACACAAAAACCTAAGCTAAGGAAGTATTGTAATAAGTAGGTAGCATCCATCGGACGAATGTTCATGTTATCTCGACGTTTTATGACCCCAAGAGTACGAAAACATAAGTTTTCCGTTTTCTTCTGTTCCCTTTGTATCCACTTTTATTAGACAGATACCTAATCCTTGAAACTACCCAATGTTTTTAAATTTTATATGTGTATCAAGAATATTGTGTTGATAATAAAACGTTAGCAAAATTCTGTCTAATCATCCCCACCAACCATGCGATAACGTCATCTGAAACAGTTAGATGTAAGTAGAAAATGTTATTTAAATTTTACAAAAATACCATACTCTTACAGGTGTAGGAGTATGAATCCGTCTTGACCCTAGACATCCAGATTTTTGGAAAAAACAAAATTTAAAATTGTATAACCATATTTTGCAATTTAACTTTGAAACTGCAAAACAAATGCTTTGAAATCCTGCAAACCTTTTAAAGTTCTCATGATAAATTGTTAAGCAAAATTGATCCGTTTGTATTGTATTTTGTATTTCAATTACGTTTTAGTTTGGTATAAATTAGTGCTGTACCTATTTATATTTTAAGACAGTGAAACTAGGAGAAGTATGACTATACAAAACAAAGAACAAGTTGACAATATGGCAAAACAGTCGATTTTGGTGAGAATTTAGTTTAGAGGTATAAAGAGAAAAAAGAATGCTGTCAACTGAAACTCAGTCGGTAATTATTGTTCAAAATAATTGATCTAAAGTTATTTAGATAGCAGTTTCCTGGCCCGTGTAAAGTGTGTAAAGTACAGCTAAAGAAGCATGCGGCGAGTGTGTTTTAAGGGAGTTCTTTTCCATTACAAAATTTTATGATAACGTCATCAACGTTTTAGCAAGGATACGTAGTACATTGATTTGAATCGGTGTGGTATAAGATTAATAGTAACTGTAGTGTATACCTAAATTTTCGGGAGAATTTGGTTAGGCGTTCTTGATTTGACCAATAAAATAAAGTGCTTCATGAATTAATTTTTTGAGCCACCTGTATAAGTAATACTAAAAAATATTAATGCATTGATAAACCACAAGTATAGAGCACATACATTAGGTAAAGTTTGTCTAGAATTATAAGAATTTTATGGACTCCCAAAGTTAATTCGTTTTACAGCCCTGTTGTCAATTTTATTGTACAGCTGAAGAGCGTGGCGAACTCAGGTACAGAAAACATCGGCTTTCTCCTGACAGGCTCTTTACCTGTACAATAGAATTGACGACAGGGTTGTAAAACGAATTAACGTTGGGAGTCCATAAAATTCTTATAATTCTGGACAAACTTTACCTACTATTCAAAGTTTTGAGATGATGTCATTAGTTTAATTGGGGGAATAAACGGATACCTTTTCATTAACGATTTGCCATTTACGATAAGCTTAAAACGTGTACAAGTTTTTAAAGCATTCGGTTTTGCAGTTTGCAAATTAACTAACTAACTAATATTGTTAGAAGTACAATTTTGATATTTCTTTTTAAAAATCTGAATGTCAAGAGTAAAAACTCAACACGGATTAATAAACCACAAGTTGTATGGTATTATATAAAATTTAAATAAAATTAATTATTGTAAATTTTAGAGATCCCATTCTTGGTGGGGATGAGCAGACAAATTTTGACAACAATCGGTTTAGTAGTTTCAAAGATTATCTGTCTAATAACAATCGACACAGACGGCGTACGGCAGACAGACCGAAATGGGAGACATTGTCTCATACCCTAAGAATTATAAAACATCAAAAAAACATAAAACTAGTTATATCCTTTTACAATATTTCCGTAGCTTACGCTTAGAAAGTAAAAATGAGAAAAACATAGATTAAGTTAAATTGGTATAGACAGTTTTAACCAAGAACTTAGATTTTCTAAAATTATTGGGTTGCAATCTATTAAAAATTTATTAGGCACATTATTGTCCGAATTACCGAATCGATTGAAGGTAGCGACACCTTAACTAAAATTTATCTTTTGTAATTTTTATTTTTTGCGTTATTTTACTTTATACTTCCAGAGCATAAGCGAAAGAAGTATTGTAATAGGGTCCATTGGTCACTTTCATGTTTTCTCGAAGTTTCATGATCCCTAAAATACGAAAAAAGTGGTCTTCTATTGTTGCCGATCTCTCTGTCTGTCTGTCGTTAGTGTGGATTTTTATTAGACAGATAACTTTCGGCATTACTTGACAGATTGTTGTCAAATTTTGTACTTACATTAGGAATGTCATGTAAATGGTAAAACGCTTATTTAGCTAATCATCCCCACCGTCACTGTCATCTCCAAATTTTATAACAGTATTTTTTTTATTTTAAAAAGTAAAATACTCCTGCACCCGTGGTATATAAATCCGTGTTGAGTTTTCATCCTGGACATTCAGAATGTTGGAGAAAAGTAAATAAAAATTAAGTATACCTATAACAACATTTTGCAACTTAACTTTGAACTGCAAAACCGATTGCTCTAAGATCTTGCAAATGTTTTGAAGTTATCGTTAATCAAAATGTGTTCGCTTCCTTTCCCAAAAAAATGATGACGTCTCAAAATTTTGCTGAATAAATCCTCTCTAAAATATGCCTAACATTATAACTACTTATATACTTGTGGTTTATGAATGCACTCATAGTTTTTAAAAATACTTGTACAGGATGATTCAAAAAATGTATTGGATAAGACAACTTCTTTTACTGATTAAATTAAGAACGACTCAGTATATTTTCCCCAAAAATTTGAGAATCTATTGCTGTTATTATTGGTATTACACTACATCCAAAATGATATACATGTCCTTGCAAAAATGTTGATGACGTCATCACAAAATTTTGTAATAGTAAAACTCACTGGAAACAAACTGTCGCACGCTTCTTTACGTTTACTTTAACATTACATATCTTTATTTTAACTTATAAGGGTTATCAAAAACAAAGATCGCAAAATCAAATCATATAATTTTTCGGAAAAGCTGGATTGTAGTGTACTTCAAAGGAGAGGGACGAAATAATATTCGATCGATTTTTTCAAGTTAATTTACGTTACATTTTAAAATTTCTAATCAATAGTAATTTGTATGCACAAAACATGTTTCTAAGTATTATTTAAATTATATATAATTGAGGTTGATTTCTACAGATAGAATATCAAATAAATAGCAAAAATTTTTGACTAATGATTATTTTGCAAAACTATTTTGAAATAATTTAATGAGGATATTTTGTTTATTTTGTTTATGTTATTTGTTTAGAAATAAATGTACTTATACATAGGTACGAGTGTCTTTTGTTCTGGACTGAAGGGGAATACCGCACATAATGGATAAAAATACTACAGTGTAAATTAAACTTTAGATTGGAACTGCAAAACAGTTTCTCAAAGAATTTTTCTTTTCATCTGGATATATTTACTGTTTATTAGGTGTATTATTCTAACTAGAACAAGTTTTAAAGTAAGTGTTAAACAAAACTTTCGATGTGAAAATATTAAATGTCTTCGTTGTCAAAACAGACACTGTCTTAAAATTTGGAATATTGTGAATTTTCTTCTTGAAGGATGTTTTTAAAAATATTTTCTTACTATATTTAAGAAACAAGCTGTTTTTAATTTTTCTTTTTTGGAAAATGGAAGAAAAATTTGCTTTAGTTTGTATCTGGATTTCACTATTTAAAAAGTAGTGATGAAATACAAAGATACTCACTCTGAATTTTTATAAATAAGGAAACACAAGCTCAAAAACAGCAATTTGAAAATAGGTTTTAAATTAAAAAAAAACTTTTAATTTGGATTGACAGTTTTTGGATATTTCATGGAATATTCAAATTCACATTTAATTTTTGTGGAT